TATTTATTTTCAAGGATAGGACACTTAAAAAAAATAATATTGAGAGGACGAGGATTTTGAGGTGGTTCGGACGAGGAAATGAGGAGAATGTGGTTCGGACTAGAGATTGATGTGGTTGGCCTTCCTCCCCTCCCTCCCCCTCCAACAAAATGTCTAGTTGCCCGCCTGCCCCGTCTATTGGTGGTTTATAACCTTTGAAGCCCTGAAACTTCTTTTCAAAACGACTTTTTAAAGTTTTAATCTTTAATTAAAAAATAATTTTGTTTCACTATTAAAATTTTATTTTACACTTTAAAAAATATAACTTCTAACGGATTGTCCAGGAAACTATAATCTGCGTATTTGGTGTACTATCCCTGGTGAACTGTACTGGTGTACTCTATCTGCTTAAAAGTTGGCCTTGTACTTTAAAATTAAAAGCAAGCAAAGACCGAGATGGTTCACACCGGACTAACCAGAGTGAGCAGCATTCGGTTTCTTCTATTTGAAATCAAACGTGTTTTGGTCTTTAATTCAATAATCATTTACTTTACGGATTTGTTTATGTTATACATTTTCATTCAAAATGCATATGCCGACAAAAAAGTATTTAATAGAAAAGGCTAACAAATTATGTCTAATGGGTCAAATTGTGATCGAAAGTCACAGCTTTCTGGAATATTGACAAAACCGTTAAATCCGCGTGGTTGGGGTTTCATGCAATCTTTTTCCTGTGAATTAGATTATTTGATGAGATAGATTTATAAATCAAAAGAAAACTCACGATAAGAGAGATTAGCTGATAAAAGATATATGAAATGATATGTAACAATGAATAGATTCATAGATTAAAAATGAGAAAATATGAAAATTAAAAAGTTAAGTAAATAAAAAACTTATTAATAAAAAAAAAAATTCAGAACGAAATAAACTTATGAAAAGGATTAATATAGATGATGAAATAAATATTAAAAACTTATTATTTCGACAATAAAATACTTAAATTCTGAATTTTATTTTGGGCATTCGAATGAATAGTTAACATATCATTGAATTTTTAACATTTAAAAGGCGCTGTGTATTTTTAAACCAATTTTGAGGATTTTTAACCATTCCCTCTTAATGACCAAATACATAGAAGTCAAATTAGAAGCATCGAATCCAAAGATTTATTTTTTCGCGAACACTGAGGATTAGAAAGTTAGTTTTTAAGGCTAGTTTAAATATATAAAAATGAGGTTTTCCGAGGTTTCCAGTTGAACGAACTAGATTGTTTCATTTCCCTAACTCTAGTCGAACCCTAAGAGAGATTTTTCTTCGAATCTACATTCCTAGAGTTACCAAGAAAATTATTATGAAAAGAGTCAACAGAAATCGTTAAATTCCATGAAATGTATTCTTTTAACTCTTATACATTAGATCAATGTACTATAATGCGAGGAAAGTTATTTTAGAGGTGTACGCATTTTTTGTACTGCAGTGTACTGTATTTGGGCGGAAAAGTAAACACAAAACGGATGTCACAGTCTGAAATGGAATCCATTTTCACAAAAATAATCGATGAAATATTCTGGTCATAGGAAACTATTATGTGAATTTTTAAAATTATCAAAATTAAATCCTCCTAAGATACTAGTGGAACACTGTATATGCGTATACGCGACCGCAATTAACTTTCCTTGCATATATATATATATACTAGAAATTCAAGGCGCTTCGCGCCCTTCTTTCTAACCTTAGAAGGCGCTTCGCGCCCATCTTCTAAATTAATTGTGAACATGTTCTCTTTGTGTACATCGTAAAACAAAACAAAAATAATTCGCGGATTTTCACAAAAAATTTCGCGGATTTTCAAAATTTTCAAAAA